CTTATAAATGGAATGTAGGTAACGAACGAGCACACAATCCACCTGATGGTAAGTGGATGCTGTGGCCCATGGATCTGATAGTTCTTGAAAGTAAGATGCATTACACAAAACAAAGCATTAAAAAAATCGGGGTTTTGAAAATATTGAAGTTTTTATTTTCACAAATGCAGTTTTTTAACAACTATTTTTATCGATTTTATTGCGTTTTATTTCCTTGATTTTTAATTCCAGACGTTTCGGGTGCTTTCCAGCACCCATGGTTACGGCAGACTGAGGTGACTGACGTCCCAATGTCAGTATTAACCCGGAGTACCTTCAGATTTTTAATTTTTATTTATGGTCCGATCTACAGAATGAACTTACTGTGTCTTGAAGTCTTGCAGTGGTATGCTTGGGTTTAATTTTAATTTTATTAATTACAGGGTCCTAAGCAGGTGCTGGCACCAAGCCTCCTTCTCTATTGAAAAAAGAATTTTTTTTATTTCAATAGTCTCATGTATTGTCCTTTTAGAGGATTTGTGGTCTATCAAATCTTTTTTTGATGTCTATCTGGTTGGGGCCGTCCAGGATATGATCACAAACTGCAAACTTCCCTGAACTTTGATGCTTCACGTCAGCTCGCTTCAAGATGTAGCCAATCTTGTCTGTGACACCCCTGACAAATGCTAGTACTACACATGCTTGACTGTGGCCGGCTTCACTTGGTCACTGTGACGTAAGCGCGGGCCCGAAGCTTGTTGACGTGCAGAACCTGCTTGACGTGCTGAAGCTCGACGGCCAGATGTTTGCTGCCACAGATCCCTTGTGCTCTCTGTAACAAAGATTTGCTCACGGTAACTAACTGTGAAGGATGATGGTGAGATTCATTGTTTTCTATACACAGTGTGACCTATGGTGTTGTTAGAATTTTGGATGACTCACGCATCTAGGAAAGCTAAGGAATTATTTGCCTCTAATTTACACATCAATACATCATTCAGGGACTGAGCAGGACGCAAAATATTAGTCTGATGCCGTACCCAACCCAAATACCATATTACTGTCATAACATGGGCACAGCATCCAACAGTTCGACGGCCGACAGTACTTTTTAATAGCACTTCTACCAGAACCATTGCCCCTAATTAAAATATATATAAAATACACTTTACGACTAATGGTGATGACTTGCAATTCTAGCCCTAGGTAATGATCAGCTAGGGCTTAAGTTTATTCCTTCCATAATGCTGCTCCTGTGGTTATTACAGAGTTCTATCCGGTAGCAACCATTAAATCTTATATGCTCACCATAATAGTAGCGAGCTTGCTCTAATTGGTATGTGACACAAGCAATTAATATTAAGTCGTTGCAAGTTAAAACAGGAAATTCCCTAACATTTTAAAGTCTACATTTATGTTTCTAAAGTCTGCCTGCCCTAGCTCTATTTAGAATGTTTTCCCTAGCATACTCAGACAAATCATTATTCGTCTCCATATTTTGGTGAACTATTTCAAGTATTTGAGCCGCATCATTCCTGTCCCTTATTTTTGTGTGGAATTTATTAATTATAGCAGCAGCCACAGCAGTCTATCATCAAATGTGTAGAAGCCCTGTTAAAGTAATTTTGATGAAATATTTTGAATTCGGTTTTAAAAATCCCATTCACCACCTCTACTACCCATATCGACATATAGTCACGGCTCTGGATTTATTAGCATATCTTGTCATTAACTGAGATTCACCATCTGCTGGAGACATTGCTGCGACCCTTAGACATCGACATCTATCCTCGATTACAAATCAAAATGCAGATGCGTTGTCACCCGTGAGGACAAAATCGGTCTAGTAATTTTTGAGATTAGCCAAAAAACGTATTCATTGAAAGTAGCGCCCTCTATAATAAAATTAACCCTACATTAGATATCTAAAATTATACATAACAATCTAGTGGTGAAAGAATTCTCAAAGTTGGTCAAGTACTTTACGAGTTTAGCGAAAAAAATATTCTTTGTTAGTAGCGCCCTCAATAATAAAATTCATCCTACGTTTTAAGCACCATAGCAAAAAACGATTCAACATAGCCTAACCCGCACACACAGTAAAAACATAACCATCCTTTTTCGTCTGTAGTCGGATAAACAACTGGTTAATAACGGTTGCGTATCGGCTGCTTTGGATAAATATCCATTGTCAACGGTTATTTTAAACCTAAATCATAACATCGTAATAATTATCGAAAAATTATATAAGCATTGTAATAATGACACTATAAGTAATCGATCGAAAAAGGGAATAGATTTTTTTAATGAGATTTGTGATTAGCAACACTTTTTATTTTATTCACAAACTAATGAATTAATGATTTACCTAATTTTATTCTTATCTTTTCGGTACTTTTAATTTGTGAAAAATATTCCCATTGTTTTAGGATAAATGAATACCGCGATTAATAACCATAAATAAAGATATATTTTTTTTAACAAATGCACAATGTTGGGCGTTCCATGGCCGAAAATGGGCAATGCCCTTTGCTACTTTAAGTACATAGTACGTGAAACGCTTAGCATTTGAAATTAGCGGGAAGTTGCAGGGCAGGTTTCGGTTGGGCTGTAGGATCTACCGTATTTTGTTTTTAATTTCAATAGCCACGCAAAGCATCCCTGGTAGTAAACGTTGTTCTTTTGCGTGAATTTTTGATTTATCAAATCTGATGTAAGGGGTGTAATGGCAGCCTAATAAAATCCACTATCCCATAACATTCAGTGAGTGTCGTATGAGGCGACAGGGGGAAACTGAAACAAGAGACGGGATTAAAGCACGGAGTAAGAAAAAGCTGCGGTTGCCAACTCACCTGCCAAGCGGAGCAACTATAGCTAATATCCCTCCTGTGAGACAATCTATGGGGGAGTCCTTTGTACAGCAGTGAACTTTTGATGGACTATCATGATAATGATCATAATAAAATCTGATGTTATACATCAGATTTTATGGTGAGGACGATCCTCAACATGTCATATGTTAAACTCATGAGCTAATATCGGGTACAGTTGTACCGCATAATATTTTCAGTCTTCAGTAACGTTAGTAAGTTAAGAATAACGTAGTGATATTGTCGTGTTGTTGTTTCTTATAAATGGAATGTAGGTAACGAATGAGCACACAATCCACCTGATGGTAAGTGGATGCTGTGGCCCATGAATCTGAAAGTTCTTGAAAGTAAGATGCATTACACAAAACAGTGAATGACAAATAGCTACCTAATAGCCACACAAGGCATTTATGTTTCCGAAAACTGCGGTCATAATAGCATAATATCCGACTCTTTGTAAATGAGGATTAACGATGTAGGCTTCTCTTTCATGATTAACACCTATGTATAACTCTCCGGAGTAATGATTACGTCGGACACTACACTACATTGACGAAAACCCTATATAACCCCTCATCGGCAAGGCCACAGTCACATTTTTGCACATATCCGCATTAGAAAAAAATCCCCTTAATTTCGGTCAGGTCAAAGTGCAGAATTCAAGGTACACTTTTCCGCACAGCCTCCATCTAAACCTGCGCAACGAATAGTTTCTAATTTTGCATAATATTACATTAAAATTAACTGTCATCGTAGTCGTAATAAGACTATACAGCTGGCATTATGACAGTGTAGTGGAGGTGTAAGAATAACTGCAACCCCATATCGTTTCTTCATTCATAATCATAATCATCATTGCGAATGTGTGAGTTTGGCATTAATGATTCTGATAAAAATTATACATTTTGCTACTTCCTCTTGTTTTTTGTATACCGTGATATACGCCAATTCAAATTTTAGATTAATATTCAATTTACAGAAATCGTTGTGTTAGAGTTTTATTGTAGTATAGATTATATACATTGCTTTATCGCTAATAAGGCTCTACTGAAAGTAGATGAGCTGTGCGGAAAACAATCCACGACCCCATATCGTCCCGTGGGTGTCGTAAGTGGTGACAGAAAGAAATAAACTCAGAGATGCGCAGCACCATCCTTCTGATAGCAAATAGAAATAATATTAATTTTCATTATATGCAGACTTACGACCACGTGTCATAAGAGGTGACCAGAGACCAGAGAGCGTGTTCCTAATAACAACTAAAAAATAAAAACTGCGGCTGCCACCCCACCTGCCAAGCGTGGCAACTATAGCAAATATCCCTCCTCTGAGGCAATCTACGGGGGAAGCACATGTTCAGAATCGGGCTTTTGACAGCTGTGACGGTAACGGTTATTTATAACCAAGCTATTGTTAAAACATTTTAATATTAGCCAAATTACCTTGAAATAACCTCCAAAAGAAAGTGAATTTTGTTAAGTTAACAAATCTACACTCGCAAGCAATCTGTACGCGGCAAAAACGCGTCGAGACTAATTGATCAGCTAATTTGTTGTGCCGCAGGTGCGCCTGTGTTCTTATGAATTACAAATTTGTTTCTATAATTAATTCAAACAGATATTCCGATACGGTAAACGTGATGTGCATTAATCAAGTACTCTCAAATTCGTTTAAAGTAATTGGTAATACAAATAATTTTTTGGTAATATTTTCCTCTAGTGTTCTGTAGTTCTAATAGTGTCCTCTAATGGATAGTTTTAAAGATGAAGATAGGCTAGTTGTATATAATGTACGGATAAGTTAATATAAACATGCGGACAAAAATTTGATGTTAACAAAAATTTGTTTGGGAGACAACGTAAAAAGGCACAGCTTTAAAACTGTCTAGATTTCTTTTCTTGTTTTTCAGTAGATACTGGATCCTTTTTATGCTAATCTATGTCCATGAAGAGATGAAAACTTTTTCAATCATCCATTACATTAACATTAGTAAGGCAGTTGGTGCATATATTTCTTGAAAATGACTACTAGAATTTATCAACACTTTTTCTTACAATATTTCTAAAATAAGATAAAACTGGTAAATATAGCTTTCTGTATGTATTGGGTAACTTTCTGACACCTATAAAAAAATTTAAAACAAATATCCTCTCAAGAGCGTGTGATGGCTCTCTGCAGAGGAATCACTGTATTGAATATCTTTCCACCGCTCGTGTCATCTGTGTCGTCATTAGACGTTAGCCTCTGAGGCCTAAACAGTATCTTCCTAATAACAGTATTGAATATCTTTCCGCCGCTCGTGTCATCTGTGTAGTCGTCAGAAGTTAGCCTCTGAGGCGTAAACAGTATCTTCCTAATAGCAGTATTGAATATCTTTCCGCCGCTCGTGTCATCTGTGTCGTCGTCAGAAGTTAGCCTCTGAGGCCTAAACAGTATCTTCCTAATAACAGTATTGAATATCTTTCCGCCGCTCGTGTCATCTGTGTCGTCGTCAGAAGTTAGCCTCTGAGGCCTAAACAGTATCTTCCTAATAACAGTATTGAATATCTTTCCGCCGCTCGTGTCATCTGTGTCGTCGTCAGAAGTTAGCCTCTGAGGCGTAAACAGTATCTTCCTAATAACAGTATTGAATATCTTTCCGCCGCTCGTGTCATCTGTGTCGTCGTCAGAAGTTAGCCTCTGAGGCGTAAACAGTATCTTCCTAATAACAGTATTGAATATCTTTCCGCCGCTCGTGTCATCTGTGTCGTCGTCAGAAGTTAGCCTCTGAGGCGTAAACAGTATCTTCCTAATAACAGTATTGAATATCTTTCCGCCGCTCGTGTCATCTGTGTCGTCGTCAGAAGTTAGCCTCTGAGGCGTAAACAGTATCTTCCTAATAACAGTATTGAATATCTTTCCGCCGCTCGTGTCATCTGTGTCGTCGTCAGAAGTTAGCCTCTGAGGCGTAAACAGTATCTTCCTAATAACAGTATTGAATATCTTTCCGCCGCTCGTGTCATCTGTGTCGTCGTCAGAAGTTAGCCTCTGAGGCGTAAACAGTATCTTCCTAATAACAGTATTGAATATCTTTCCGCCGCTCGTGTCATCTGTGTCGTCGTCAGAAGTTAGCCTCTGAGGCGTAAACAGTATCTTCCTAATAACAGTATTGAATATCTTTCCGCCGCTCGTGTCATCTGTGTCGTCGTCAGAAGTTAGCCTCTGAGGCGTAAACAGTATCTTCCTAATAACATTATTGAATATCTTTCCGCCGCTCGTGTCATCTGTGTCGTCGTCAGAAGTTAGCCTCTGAGGAGTAAACAGTATCTTGCTAATAACAACTCAAAATGATTAAAAACTGTGTTTACTAAACCGCCTGCCAAGCGGGACAACTATGGTAAGTCAAGGCTGTCAATGAGTCCGATTAAGTTAATTTGTTTAAAATTGAAATAAAAAAATTAGTTTATTATTTTTCCTTTTTTCCTTTCTGACAACCTTTGTTTTCCTTTGTAACAACCCTTGCAATTTTATTTGTCACGACAAAAGTCTAGACGTTGTCAGCTTTCCCGATAACAGCAAACGCGATGAATGACGGTACGTTCTTAGACTGTGACTATGTTCAGCCGTGGACTACAATAGAAAATCAGCCGTTGTTATATAAATTCAGGAAAGAAAATGCTGACTTTACAGTAGTACAATACAGAATATAAATAAGCCATATAATAATTAAATTTGGTTTCGATATTACACTTCACACAAGAAACTCAAGCGGGTATACTTATTAACCAGTAAATTCTAGATGGCAATATATGTACACCACAAACGTGCTCCGACTAATTGATCAGTGAAATTGTAGCGCGGAAATGAGTACGTGATCTTATGGATAATTTGGTACATGAATAAATGTATCGAGTACTACCGTTTTCTACCACTTAATGCAATGACAGGTAAATTTTGTTATTCTTACAAACAGTGACGTAGCAAGGGTTGCTGCCGCCTGGGACCTCTAAACATAAATGCCGCTCCCCCCTCCCGTTTTCGCAAGTATCTTGAAAATATCAATTCGGTAATATTCTTCTGTATTATATGATAATTTTATGTATGTTATTTGAAAATGAATAAAAACTATATTTTGTGGGTTTTTTATACTTTTCAACTACAACTAAAATACGTGAGGTTAATTAATATGATCACCTTAAGCCTTGCTGCCAAAACTATGAGGAGGACAGAGACAAAAGCACAAAGTTGTATACTATATATTAATATATTAAGAAAATAATAGCAAACAAGCTTTGGCATTAATTAGGAAAACTTCGAAAAATCAACTTAAAAATACTAACTACACTACATACGTAATACTAAAATTGACTAAAATATTTACTATAATGTCAACTGTCAAAATGACACAAGCTAGTAGTACCAGTTAGTCGACTCCACCGAGTCGGTAATTTATTATTAGTGCGATGTATACGCTTTTGCAAGAAAATCCCAGTAAATACACAAAATTTGATTTTCACAAATTTCAATAACTTTACTAAACTAAGTTTGTATAAAAAGGGTTATCGTAATATTAAGGAATTTATGGAAGATTATAACCCCTGGGAAGGGCGATTGCTGCCAAGCTATTTCTAATTCGTTTTGTGTTATTAATTGTAACATACATAATTGGAAGCTGTTATTTTTTTAAATAGTCCTGCTGGGTTTTTTGGTAGTTCTTCTCAGGACAGTGGTTTTTTTTTCCGGATCAGTGGCAAATAAAAAAAATGGCTTTCAATAAGTGTTATTTGTAATCTATATTAAATAAAAAAAGTTTCTGTTTCGTTGAGCTGCTATTTTACGCTGGTATTCTGTGACAACGTGGCCCTTCCCCGGTTGAGTCGATTCATTCGTGCTACCGTAATATAGCTGCAACATGGCTCTGTCACGTAAAACTTTTATTTAGGATTATTTAAAAAATTAAAGGTTCGGTTTTTATTAAATCAAGCAAAGTTCTAAAGCCACACCTTGAGAAGGGCCACCCAGAAACTATCACTTAATGAAAACTGACGCCTAGACTTTAAGCTAAGTTCACATTTATGCAATTTATTTAACACACGAAACAGTTCAATACGTTTAATACCAACACTAAATGGAAAAAGTAAATGGAGTTTGCTTGCAATGTCCCTACTGTAAATTCTAAAAAGCAATCAAATTCTAACGGTGACGCTTTAGAAGCAATCCTATAAATGAAATTCTGCCATGAAAGCAGCGCACGCCTCTGAAACGACACAATAACCGAGCAGCCGTCGAGTGTCGTATTCCGTTTAGATAATTTACGTCGAGTGCATGCTCGACCGCGTGGAGCTGGTAAACAAAACAAGCGTCTGAGGTTAAAATTAAATTTACTATAACTAAGAAGTAAGAAGGCTTTTTTAAGCTTTTGAGAAACTAGTTTTTACGTCATTGGCTAATGTGACGTTGTCATAGAGGAATATATAGAAGTTACCTTAACATTAAATTAAAAGATCGAGTAAAAATACTTATTATTAGCGGAATAAAATCGAAAGGTGTTATCGAACATATGTTAAAATTAAAGTCGAGATAAGCAGATCACATTTAAAGAGTAAAAAGCGGACCCGGACTGTAACAAAATGCTTTCCAAGAGACATTTAAAGTTATAAAGGCAGACCTTTTAAAAGGTGGAACGACGATATAGATATATAGCTATAGCTGGTGCTGGAAAACTATGGTGCAGTTTTTATAGACAAAGAGACGAACCGAACAAATTGGTGGTGGCTTTAACCCTTCGATCAACAATACCAACTAGATGTCGGATCGGCGCAAGAAATCCGTCTCAGTAAATAAGAGCGCACATGAGACGTGAGCACGTGAGAGTGTAGCTCGCAAGGCAATAACGAGAAAAAGAATTTTATGTGTTTTCATAGTTTATATTCATGCGGACAGTATTTAGCTGTGATTTTGTACGTGACCCGTTATCTAGTTGGTATTGTTGGTCGAAGCTTTAACCGCTACAAGCGGACCTTACACAAATGATATCTATACATACATATGTACTGTATTTTATAAAATAGCATTTAGTATATTATAAATATTTATCATATATTTTTATTTATAGTCTAAGAGACAGTGAGCGGTAGATTAACGCTATTTCTATAAGCTACACGTTATTATCAGTTAGTCCCCTATACCTAAGGTACATGAAAAGAAAACTCCTAAGTTTGACCGGCGGTTGCTATAGAGAGGCTCAGGTATAAAGATGTAAAAAAATGACCGAAAAAAGTAAAAGTATTAACTAACCTAACCTAACCCATTCATGCTGTATCTCTCATATGCTTTAGCTTAGCTCTAGCACGTATTACAAATGATTTTGTATATTTCTTTTCATAGAATTTTGGTGACAAACGAACACATAGTCCACCTACCGATAAGTGGATGTTATGGCTCACAAACACCTACATCTATTCTCGATTAAAATCGAAATCTGAATACAGTTTTCGGCACTCTCCATACGTATTACAACAGTTGCTATTTTATGTTGGTATTCTGTGAGAGCGTGGTCTGTCCTCGGTCAAACCGACTCAATCGTGTTGCAACCATAATATGGCTGCAGCCATGTTAACTACAATATAAAGTTTCAAATTCGGTAGCAAATATCAAATATTGCAAAATGTGGCGCCCCTGCTAAGAAAATTCTTTCGTGACGAAGACTCTTCTTTAAACCCGAGACTATCAATAAAAAACATTTATTAATAAGATCCTTAAAGTATGCGTAATGTTCAATAGTATCGTGAAAAAGCAAGCAGTCAAGTCGATATTTTCTGCAAATTAAACATACATTAACAAAATGCATACGAATTTTAAAACTTTGTGAATTCAGCGCTGTAATTATTCGAAACACTTTGTCTTCGCACCGGCTTAACAAGCAATTCTTTTTCAGTTTTAGAAGTTGGTTTTTACTTTTTATTAAAAATTTAAAAAAATTGACAGGTAATTTTGAAATCGCGGCAGATTCTTTGTTTGAAGTACTGCCACAGGACAACAGACTTACAAGTCGGTGGACTGTAAGTTCGATTGTCACAATATTATTTATAAAAAAAAAAAACAATCGTTGCACTTTCGAAAATCGGATTCATTACTCGGCGTAAAGGCTTTCTCATAGTCCACATACGCCAGGCAAATTGGCAGATTGTACTCTTTGGACTTCTGTACAATTTGCCGAAGGGTATGTACGTGGTCTATGGTACTAAAGCCTTTTCGGCTTGTTCGGGAGGCTGGAAGTCGTCGAGTCTGCGTGCGAGACGATTCGTAATGACTCTCGAAAATAGCACGTAGACGCGGCTCAGAAGGGATATCGGTCTGTAGTTCTTCAAGAGGGCGTTGTCACCTTTCTTGAAGAACAAGACCACCGCACTTCTGCTCCACGCCTCGGGAGTAGTGCCTCCATGAACGACGGAATTAAAGAGCTTCTGAAGGACTTCAAGTACCGGTTTTCCATCCGCTTTCAGAAGCTCCGCTGTAATTCCATCCTCACCCGGGGACTTGCCGTTTTTAAGGTGCTGGAGAGCCATTCTAATCTCGCTCAGACTGACGTCCGGGATGTCATCGGAATAGTGTCGGATAAGACCTGCTCTTGGATCGTTACTCACACTTGCGTGTGGCTCCAACGATGAAGTGTACAGCTGTCCCGGAAATGATGTTGCCACACTCAGTCTTCAGATTTGACAGTTGGCTCTTACTGGCAGACAGATCTCTGGTAAAGACTTTGGAGCCCTGGTTCCGCTCAATCGCTTCTTCAATACGAGCAGTATTAAATTTGCGTAAGTCTCGCCGCATGCATTTGGAGATCTGTCTGTTCAGTTGCCTGTATGCTGTCAAATCCGTTGACGATTGCAGCCTCATCTCCCGTCTAACAGCCATGAGATTAAGAGTGTGATCGGAGAGCTTGTGTTCTTTCTCATTATAAAAACTTTTCAAATGCGTAGTGAATCCACTGCCCGATAACAATAAATAAATAACATAAGAAGCGACATTAAAAAAAGCTACGGTAACCAATCCGCCTGCCAGACAAGGCAATATGGTAATTATCCACTGATAAGGCACACATGAGGCCTGTGTGCAGCAGTGGACGTTTAAGGAGATGTAATGTATGAAAATTAGTGAACAACCACCTTTTAAAGTAAACAAAGGACTCTTACTAAAAATTTACCTCTCATAATTTTCATTCCCAGAATTATTTTTTCAAGGTGCCAGCAAAATAATTTAACAATTGTATTTCCATAAACAGTACAATTAATTAAAATATTGTTACGAGCTTACGGTTCGTGACAATAAAAATTGCCGATAAAATTACCTAAATTAACACTTTAATTTACTTTACACAAATTAAAGTTAAAAACACTAATAATTAAACACACTTATTCACTTAATTCCACTCCGAAGCTTCGCTCGTATCGCCAATTCAATACTGTCTTCCTCGCATCTTGCAGCGCCTATATATTTAAATTAGCAAAGAAATATCCAGAATGTTCAAGTAAACACGCGGAAGGTACCGAGCGTTCGAGTTTCGACTAGGCGCTGTCAGTTGAGCGATTTGTGATGTCATTTTCTCAATGCTCCCCTCGCTCTCGTTCCTGACACTAGATGGCGCTAGTTGACTTATTCATGCAACACTGCCCCCTCCTAAGACATGCTCGTCCCGAGCATTATCGGTCCCATAATAACGCGCCAAGCGATCCACATGGACGATCTTAGGAGTCCCTCTTGCGCCTTTCTATATCCGGTAGGTCACATCGTTGATCCTGGTTACAATCCGGTACGGGCCGTCCCATTTAGCTTGAAGCTTAGGAGATTTCCCTTTGCTGCGGACTGGATTGTGCAACCACACAAGTGAACCTTCGTCGAACCCTTTGTTGTTCATTTTGCGGTCATACCGGGTTTTCATCTTTTCAGACATTTGCTGGCCCGATTGTCTGACGTGCTCATAAACGTCATTCATTTTTTTCCGCAAGTCATTTGCATAATCGGTTATACTGCGTGGAGCATCGGGTGGTATCCCGGTGATCAGGTCTGCAGGCAGCCGTAATTCTCTTCCAAAGTTTGCGAAAGCTGGTGTCACTGCTGTACTTTCGTGAACAGAACTTCGATATGACAACAAAAACGGTTGTATGTGCTTGTCCCAATCTCGTTGTCGATTGTCTACAACTTTTGCTAGGTACCTCTCCAATGTCTGATTAAATCGTTCCACCATTCCATCAGATTGCGGGTGATAAGAAGTCGTTCTTGTTTTATGAGTACCCATAACTCGGCAAGTTTCCTGGAATATTTGAGACTCAAAATTCCTTCCTTGATCGCTGTGAATCTCTAAAGGTACTCCAAAACGACAGAAGACTTCATGAACTAGTTTATCTGCAACTGTTGAAGCTTCTTGATTTGGAATGGCGAAGACTTCTGGCCACTTAGTGAAGTAATCCATCACAACCATGAAATACTTGTTACCGCTTTCACTCTCCGGAAACGGCCCCGCCACGTCAATGGCTATTCTCTCCCATGGTGCACCAACATTGTACAACTTCAATGCACCTCTACTACGAGTCTGAGGTCCCTTTACAGCCGCACAACTTGTACATTTGCGACACCAGTCCTCGACATCGTTTCGACAGTGGACCCAGTAAAACCGTTCTCGGATCTTCAGTAGAGTTCGTTTAACTCCCAGATGGCCTCCTGAACAATCATTATGGTACAGCTGTAGAACATCCGGTACTTTAACTTTAGGGACAACCATTTGCAAATGACAGCTGTCTCCCCGAACGTTTTCCCATTTACGACACAGAACTCCATACTGAAGCAGCAAGCTGTCCCACTGGGCCCAATAGCTTTTAGTGGTCGAACTCATCGCTGAGACGTCACTCCACTTGGGCTTGGGAGCACTGGCCTTTATCCATTCCAGAATCGGCTTGATGTCCGGATCTTCCTTCTGTGCATGTAGCTGTCCTTCCACTCGTTGCTGAGGTGGTCTGCCCTGAGCATCCTCACGGATACCACTTCCTTACTCTCTTGCCTAGTACAATGTTTGCAATCTTCAGGACAAGGTCTTCTTGACAATGCATCTGCGTTGCCATGAGATTTCCCGCTGCGATGTTCGATTTCAAAGTCGTATTCCTGCAGTAGTTCAATCCACCTCGCAACTTGTCCTTCTGGGTTTTTAAACTGCAATAGCCATTTTAGTGCAGCATGGTCAGTTCGTAAGTGAAATTTTCGTCCCAGAAGATATTTGCTAAAATGTTGCAACGACTTTACCACAGCTAGCAATTCGCGTCTTGTGACACAGTAGTTCCTTTCCGGTTTTGACAACGACTTGCTGAAGTACGCTATCACGACCTCTTGGTCACCATTACGTTGAGACAACACACCGCCAAGTCCTATATCACTTGCGTCTGTGTCAACTATAAATTCTTTGCTTGCATCAGGGTATCCCAAAATAGGTGTTTTGCACAGACGGTCCTTGAGCTCCTGGAATGCGATGTTACAACTTTCTTCCCAGCAGAAATGTCGCTTCTCCTCGGTTAGCTTATGCAGAGGTTTGGCTATATCTGCAAAGTTCTTCACAAAACGTCGGTAATAGGAGCACAAACCCAAAAATGCTCTAACCTGCGTCTTGTCTTTTGGAACCGGCCAATCCTTTACAGCTGCGATTTTCTCTGGATCCGTGCGGATACCTTCTTCCGACACTACATACCCCAAAAAGTTGACTTGCCGTTTGAATAGTGAACATTTCTTCGGACTCAACTTAAGGTTGGCACTCTTAATCTTCATGAGCACGCGTTCCAGGTTTTGAAGGTGTTCCTCAAACGTACGGCCCACGATGATGATGTCATCCAAGTAGACCAGACAGGCATCGCCAATTAGCCCGGTAAGTACAAGTTCCATCAGCCTTTCAAACGTTGCTGGAGCATTGCACAACCCAAACGGCATTACTCTGAATTGCCACAGACCCTTTCCCGTCGAGAACGCAGTTTTCTCCTTGTCCTTAGGGTCAATTTCAACTTGCCAGTAGCCACTTTTTAGATCCAGCGTGCTAAACCATTTTACTCCTGTAAGCATGTCCAGCGTGTCATCAATTCTTGGCAAGGGATAGCTGTCCTTCTTTGTAACGTCGTTCAGACGGCGGTAATCAACACAGAACCGCATGCTGCCATCCTTCTTCTTTACCAGTACCACGGGTGAACACCATGGACTAGATGAAGGTTCAATAACACCATCCCTCACCATTCCCTCAATCATGGTTTCCACTTCCTTTTCACGTGCTACCGGCAATCGTCTTGGCCGCTGACGGATAGGCAACTCTTCACCTGTGTTTATTTTGTGTTGAACTAAACCAGTCTTTCCTATGTCAGCATCGTTTGATGAGAATACATCGGCGTACTCGAGTAACAACTTCTTCGCCTTCACCAATTCGTTCGGGGACAGAACACTGCGACAGTCTTCCAAAAGTGTGGTCACTCTCGTTTCTGAATCCTTGCTCCCACTCGATATATATTGGCACTGACGTAACCAATCCACTTCCTCACAAGTACCAACCAGTGTACCTTTTTCTATAACCTGTTCCCGGTCGCAAAGGTTCAGCACACGTACTCCTGAGATGTCAGTGGTCCTGACCAAGGTTCGAGCTACTTTCCATGGAAGGTCATTGTTTACCCTTTCCACAAGTACACAACGGTGAGCTTGCCCAGCGTTTCGTGGAAGACTAACCGGAACAATCGTTTCCGATCTCGGCGGAAGAACAATCTTCTTGATGCTGTACACGTTCCCTGGTAACGCACCTTCCATAAAAAGTTCCTCCTGTCCACATTT